ACTGAAAAATTATATCTAGAATTGTTGCAGCATAATCCATATTTTAAAAATTCCAGGTTTTTGTAAATATTTAGCGAAAATATCAACCAGAAAAACAGAAAATACCTGCTCCAAGTGAATTTTTAGACGCCAAATGAATTGAAATATCACGACCGAGTGTGCGAGAGTGTAGTCGTCATGTAATCGTTGTATCATTATTGTGACATTGAAGCAACAATGATTGGACGACCAATGTGCAGAAAGCCTAATACTTAATTATCTTCATAGTAGAAATGAGCGAACAAAGTTTTATACCCGAGCGCACTTGTGCACAAAGGAAAAATTTGGTTGGTTCGGTTCGGCGGTTCGAACCGTTTATGCACTTATGGATTGGTTCGGAAATAAAAAAGAAATAACGCGCAAGTTTATGCGTCAAGTGTCAAGTGCAACAACGCGCAAGGATAAGTGTCTGTCAAATGAGATGGGTTGCCCTAACAATTGATATTGCCATATGGTAAACAAACATGGTATGTACATATTACCATATTTAACAAAAAGCAAAAAAGGGGGTACATTTGTCTATTGAAAATTGGACGAAACGAACCTTTAAACCTTTATTAAAAGTGGTTCGGTTTTCGGTTCGGATCAAACATTTGTGGACAATTTCGGCTCGGTTAATGGTTCAATTAGTTTATAGAAAATGCGGGTATCCGATTCAAAACCGGTTTACGTCCCTGGTTATAATACCCTTATACACAAGTGCGCTCGGGTATAAAATCGTGTTGCCGAAAATGTAACAGCTGATGCAGTATGGGGCATCGATGATATTCAGCCTTACGGCATGCTTATTTATAGCGCAACGATTAGTTAGCACTCCTACTAATAGCGAGAGATGTAACTTGTTAGCCTCAAAAGCTACCCAGACCGCCTCCGGTCTACGCGCGGCCAGAAGGATTTTTTCACCTTGCATTCCAAGGCCAGTCAGCTCAGTGAGCGCCCATCTGTCCAGAAGCAGATCACACTAGGTCAGGGGAATTTATGGACCTTCTCTATTCGGAAGTAATTCCTCAAAGGTTCCCTGTCTAGCCAGCTCATCGGCCATGTAGTTTTCAGTGATTTCGCTGTGACCTGGAACCCAAATAAGCTTAACAACGAAGTAACCCGATGCGGTTGATAAGGAAGTCAGACACTATTTCATCGATCTCGAACGCACCGTCAAGGAGCCAAGAGCTCCTTGGCTGTCGGAATAAATGTTCACCTCCTTAAAAGGTGTTATAGTACTAGAGAGAAACCAATTCGAGGCCTATTTTATTGCGGCCACATCTGCTTGGAAGACACTGCATTGATCCGGTAACCTAAATTTCAGGCTGATGGAGAGTTCTTCGCAGAAGACACCTCCACCTATCTTCACATGCAGCTTCGATCCATCCTCCCAGTCCCCTCTCACTGGAATGTGGATGGTGAAAGATCCATTCGAACCTAGAACCGGCGTGTACATAAGTACATATGTATAAAGGGAGTGTTCTGCAGTCTTTTGATGCCTCGGAGAGGTTTATAGTTTTTATAAAAATATTTTCATAACAGAAAAGCTCTTAACGTTTTTTCGATCAAAAATCTCTGTATGTTTCACATGCTTTGTTATTATCCCTTTTACATCTATGTATTTATTTGTCATTTTATGTTATGTTATGCTATTCGATGTTACATTATGCTATTCTATGCTATGTTCTAAAAGCCTATAATAGGTTATGCTATGTTATCTCATTTTGACGTAGAATACGTCTTACGTTTCGATATGGAGACTATGCTCAAATGTTGTAGTTGTAATTTTTAGAGCTTCACGAAAACGCTTATTGTACGAGAACTAATGAAGCGATTGCAAAGAAAGGTTTGGCGTTCCAAAGATAAAATTCCAAACCTATCGACAGATTCATTTTTGTAAGTAACCAATTGGGTTTCTGTCGTAAAAAGAACGGTAAACATTGGCTTATTTTGGGGTCAATTTTGAGCCTTTAAAGTGCTCCAGCAGCTTATGAATTGCAGATATAACTTTCATTTCCGGGATATAGGTTCTTTGGAGCAGTAGAAAATATATTGAGCATTTTAAAGCAAAAAATTGGTGAAGAAAATTTCATATTTCTTTTATTACCAAAATGCGCGAAAACCGCACGAATGATTTTGTTTTTGTTTTCTTTAATCAAAAATTCAAGAGGTTTCCTTTCGTTTGGTATATGCGAAGTATAGGTTGATATCTTCTAAGTATGTTTATTTGATTCAAATATATGGGCATACACGTGCATGCGTTGGAAGTGAGGGAAGGAGACAAAAAGTATGTATGTGTGCGTAAGTACATATTTCGGCTTTTGATAAACAGATGGCGCAATATTTGCAAGCTAATCACAGCATATGTACATATGTAAATACATACATACGTACATATGTTGATTGCAGTTAATGCGGATCTGTTTCTATTTTTTAGTAATCTATATACATACGTCTATACATACCCACTGGGAAAATAGGTAAGCACCTTACGAGGTGAGCCATGTTTTCTTTCAGTTTTTAGTACCTAAATTGTCATCATGGCCAATGTCATCTACTAGTAAAGCACAAAATGAACACCTCCAACGACACATTACGTTGTCAGTTGCAAAGTAACGTGCAGCCGAAGTTATCTCCAAGCGCCGAACTACTCCGAGCGACTTCTCTGCATTACACGTAACTTACTTTGTAAAGCGGCTAAGAAGTATGTCTGATACCAAATGTACATTCTAAATTCCTACTTACATAAGGCGGCCATGCCTTTGTAAAAGTAAGGGACGTTCGGCAGGGAAATGGTAATGACTGCCAGGTGAAGAGTAAGTTGCTAATAAGGTATTATTACGTGCTCCTAATTCCCACTGGGTATTATATATGTACATACATATATGTATGAACACATATATGCATAATACTTTTTGAAGTGAAACAACACTTAGAAAAAGACCAATCCAAGAATAAAAGTAAAGGTGAGTACGTACATAGATAAAGAAAAGGATGAAGGCAAAGGTAAAAATAAAAGCAAAAACAAAGTTGCGTAAAGATAAAGACAAAAATGAAGACCAAGGAAAATTCAAACACTTTGCTTATATAAGGGCAAAGGTGAAGGGGAATGTGTATATGAAGAATATGATAAACATAAAAATAAAAACAAAGATAAATATAAAGAAAAAGATGAGGATGAGAATACCGATAAAGGTATAGATGAAGATAGAGGAAGAAAGATTAAAATAAAGGTAGTTGTAGAGAAAAGGATATAGATAGAGGCACAGATACTTTAGAGATTTTCGGGATTCTCGGGACTTATCGATATAATGATCGATATTTTGTCGGTTTTTTTATCGATATTTTTATCGATTTTGTTATCGTAATTTTTATCGATATTGTTATTGATTTTGCTATCGATATTTTCGAAACTTATCGATATTTTTATCGATTTTGTTAACGATATTTTTTATCGACTTTGTTATCGATATTTTTATTGACTTCGTTATCGATTTTGTAATCGACTTTGTTATCGATTTTGTTATCCATATTTTTATCGATTTTGTTGTCGATATTTTTATCGATTTTGTTGTCGATATTTTAATCGATTTAGTCATCGATATTTTTATCGGTTTTGTTATCGTTATTTTTATTGATTGTGTTAACGATTTTGCTATCGATATGATTATCGCTTTTGTTATCGATATCTTTATCGATTTTGTTATCGGTATTGTTACTGATTTTGGTATCGATATTTTCCGAGCTTATCGATATAATGCTCAATATTTTCATCGATTTTGTTATCGATATTGTTTTATCGGTTTTGTTATCGGTTATTTGATCGATTTTTGTTATCGATTTTTTATCGCTTTTGTTTCGATTTTATTATTATTTTTGCTATCGATTTTATTATCGATATATTAATCGATTTTGTTGTCGATATTTTTATCGGTTTAGTTATCAATATTTTGATCGTTTTTTTACCGATTTTTTTATCGATTTTGCTATCGATATTGTTATTGCTTTTGTTATCGATATTTTTATCGATGTTGTTATCGATTTTGTTACCGACTTTGTAATAAAGTTTTTGATAGATTTTGTAATCGATTTATTTATCGATTTTCGATTTTAGTAATCGATATTTTCATCGATTTTTTTTTATCGATTTAGCAATCGATTTAGTTGTCGATTTTCTATTTTATTTATCGATATTTTCATCGATTTTTTTATCGATGTTTGTATCGATTTTCTATCGATATTTTTATCGCTTTACCTTTAAATTTAGCGGCTGTATCTCCGATACAGCCTGCAGACCAAGACGAAGGCGCTGGACTGTTCCTTTTATTTAGTTACATTTTATTTAGTTTTATCATATCGTCGTAAAGTACAAAACCGCGTATCAACAAAATGCAAAACCGCGTATGTTAGGTTGCATAAATTATTTTCTAGAGAGTAAAAGCACTCATATTTCAAAATGGTTCTCTTTTTTTATAAAGCAATCACATTTCTGGCTAATATATTTCAGGACGAATGGGTGAGGATTGAGCCAAGAGCTTGTGTGAGCAAATCCAATTTTTGTTTTGTACTTTAAACGACGATATGTATTATGTATTTCTGATTGCAATTTAATTTCTTACTTTTATTTATTTCACTAGTAAGCCTTTTACGACATCGGAAAGAATTTGAATTTTTATTACTTTGTCGTAAACAACATTTGCATACTAATTGCCTGTGCGACGAGAAGACGGCTAATTGATTGTACCGTGCGTGTGTGTGTGTGTTTATTGGGATATAAGTTAATCATGTTGGCCTTTTTCTACTTGTCACATGTCTTCCCCGCCATCAGCAAAACATCTTTTCTCATTTTATTTAACACATTTTTTTTGGTTTTGATAAAAATTGCACTTTCATTCGTTTTTTTATCTCCTTGTCTTTGCCATCTTATAATTATATATTCTCCCTTGTCTATGTCGACAAAAATATTTATTTTCATATAGGTCAGTGCCATTAATCCGCGTGTCTATCACACAGCCTCGCTATTAGGACTGATGCCAGCGCAAATGATCAATGCGTACTTGGGGTCGACACTGCGTTCCATGCAGGAAGTGCTTAGCAGTCATGGTGGAGCGGCGGTGTCGGGGTACATTAGTTTCGGACTGGAGGTAAGTCAGTAGAAAAAAATTAAATTTTTAAATGTAATTTTTAAGAGGGGCGCAATTAATTATATTAAAACTTTTGAAACAAACCGTATTCCTATTCGAAATTTAATGGGCATTAAACACCTATGTGCACACTTCATATGGAGTAGGTAAGAAAAGTGTGCATCAAAAAATAACGAAATGGCAATTAACTAAAAGTCAATAACTACACATTTCACAATTCTACAAATTTTCGATTTATCGCGTATAGTTTTTGAAGAATTTAATTTTAAGAAGTTTTTAAGTATGTATTGTTTTCTACAAACAATTACGAATAATTTGATACCTTACCAAGAGGGGTGTTTTCAGAATAAACCAACTTTTAAAGAAAAAATATTCTGCGTTCTTGAGCGTAATTTTTATTCCAAAAACATATTAATTGAAGGCACATTTGGAAAATACGTCGAAACGATCTAAATCTTTCTATAACTACTAGTCTTTATAAAATTACATATACCTGTAACATGCTTTAAAAAAAATTTCTAGAAGTGTGAAAAACCCTGATTTACTACTTTTAATAATGCCCCTTTTTGTAGTCAGAATATTTCGAGCTTGGTATCAAATAAAATTTTTTTCGACGAAGGTTCTGATAATTGCTCTTACTTAACTGGAAGCTTCTAAATTCAATGGCATCCCCAGTTTTTCCCGATTGGCTCCACTTTTTGAGATAGCGGTACTTGAAACTTTACTTAAATTTTACCCCTTTTATAAAAAAACTCCCTCGGTTTTGAAGATATTTTACTAAAATTTTGCACACGATAGTGTTTTAATATTACCTTCACTACCTCTTAAGATCATCGAAATCGGTTCACTAAAACATCTAGTTCCCATACAACCGATTGTTCAGAGACCTTGTTTTGCGTTATAACTCCTCCAATTAAACGGATAAAAATTTAGTATAGGTTCACTTTAGCATATAGTACGCATACAATTTATTATTCAGATACGAAGTTAGAGTTATAGCGCAAAACACACATATCTGAGTAATCAGTTGTATTGGAGCTATATGTTAAAGTGAACCCATTTCGAAAACTTTAAGGAATAATTAGGGTATTATCAGTGAAGTGAGTTCAACTTTCAAAATCTGTGCTCAAAATTTACAACTTGAACAGCGTAATTTGAACCCAGCTTGTTCTTTTTTTTCTATTTCATGTTTATTCCTTTATGAATTACACTTATGAGGCATTTCATGTTTATGAGTAATAAAATTATAGTTACAAAAAAAACCAACAACACGCTTTTATTACAATAAGAATTAAAAGGAAAACATTTTTTTATGTATTTAAAGATTCGTTAAATAAGGATATGAAGTTCCCTAACTTAATGTTATTTAACCTTTTAAACTAGCTTAAAATAGGATTAAAGTAATTGGCACGTAGTCATAGTCGAAATAAAGTCCACTGAAAAGTTAGTTGCAGTTATTTTTTACAGGCATCTCATTGTAAACATATAGCACCCCATTGGTAGAGGGCTTCGGGTGTACGAATTTGTTGTAACATCAGGAGTTGAAGACTTGCTCTAGCTGCTAGACTCTTAAGATTTCCTCCAATCACGTCGTAAGCAGATTTCCAATATAAACTTGCAACAAAGTTCAATTCTGCCATTTCCTTGAAGGGATTTTCATGATTTCAGACCTTTAGTAAAGTTAATATCATTTATTCATATTTTTTTTTGTTTTTTATACACCTTTCCTCTTTCAAAATTATACAATTTTATAAAATATCAATGTCTATTCGAGCGTTAGACGATCTAGGTACTTAAAGTTGACATTATAGACAATGTTTTTATGTAAAAATAAAAATTATAAAAATGCTATAAACAAAAAAAAAATTAAAAAGAAAAATGTTTACTTATTTTTTTTTTGTCTTTTATACGTTGCACATTAATGTAAAAAATGTACAATTAAAGCCCATAATAAGACGGAAGAAATACATTTTTTTTTCATTAAGTTTCGTCAAAAGGTTTCCAAGATACAGCACTTTAAAGAAAGGTATGTATGACGTTTTCTTAAAATTTAAGTTCCGTGTAAATAGGCAACCCTACGTCATATCGGCAAAATATGCTGCACGTATATTCATGTCACCTAGACCTTCAATCTCTTCAACTTTCATCCAAATCCTGAGAGTTCGCGCACAGAGGTGGCCGCGGTAACATGAGATGCCTCTTATATTAATTGATTTATTAAGAGATTACGACTAAAATGATATACATATAAAACATAGGTCGGCTCACAAATTTAAAAATTAAAATTTTTCTTGGAAAGTGTACCTATTTTTTAGATTTGTCCATATATGTACATATGTATTTTAGTTTTTTACCCAAACTATTTCAATGCTAAGCTCAAAAGACCATTAAATCCAAAACTACAAATAAACATACATAGCATGTATGTACAAATTTATTTGCATGTGCCCTCCACACCCACTAGGCAGATTAACAGACTTTTGTAGATTTATTGGCCGAAAAGAAAATAAACCCATTCAAACAGCTGGCTCAACATTGTTTACTTTCTGATTTTTATTTTAAATTTTTTTTTCGCAAAGCTGCCAAGTATTTATTTGTTAAGCCATAAATCAAAGGCGTTTAATTTCTGTTTATCCCGCTGACAGCAGCCAGTTGTACATGCATTCATACTCTGTAAAGGTAGTGCAATAGCATTTAAATTGCAAAATATATGAAACAAATATATTTCGCTGGAAAAGAATTTTCTTAGAACAATTCCACTTTCCCAAATTAGCGATTTTCTTGCACCCATTAGCTATACAAAAGCAGCAGGCAAAACAGTTTGAGAGCTCGTGCTTTTCAGTTACATATATGAATACATAACTGCTGCATTGAGTGTTTCTTTGGTACGCCTGTGAATATGCTACGCAAAGTCATTCTACAGCAGTCGCTAATTCTAAAAGCAGTGGGGAATAGGAATTCTAATTTATAGTTACAAAAATACATAGTACATATATTTTTATGGAAAAAATTATATAGGAAAAAGCGCTTTATTTTGATTAAAATTTTACGCTATACTCTTTTTATTGGAATAGATCTCTTCAGCAGTGAATTTAAAATATAGCAATATTTTATAAAAAAAAACTTTTCCTCACTATTGAATTTTTATGCATTTAATTTTTTATTTTATTAATATTGTGATTTCCTCCTTTTCCTTTCAGGTCATCTGCGGTGTGGGGCTCATGGTGTGGGTGATACAAAAAGCGCGCAAAGAATTGGCTGAAACCCTGCTCTCCGATCTTAGCAACGAAGAAAAACTAATCGAGATCGATGTGTGATTGTTGTGATGTGCGACGAGAAGAAGGACTGCTATTGTTGTTTTCCTTTTAAGAACGATAAGCGCTGTTATAAACTTTGAATGCTCAATGAAAACTCGAAATCAAGGCTGGCTATTGCCAACTTAAGAGTATGCATAATAAAACATACTTACATATGTACATATGTGGATAGGACGTACCTGTAAGCTTCCTAGACATTTTCATGTAAAAAAACGTCAAACGTTCACTAAACATACATACATATGTACATGAAAGACTATTTTATAAATATTTGCTCGCTTGTGTTTTTGTAATATACTATGTACGTAAACATTTATTTTTTCATTTGGAAATGCATTCATATACATACATACGTAAGAATTAGTATACACCAAGAATTATTTTAGAAATTAAAAAAAAATTATATGTATATAAATTTTATATATTTACTTAGATAAATAACAAGCCAAATTGATGTAGTCTGTATATGAGAATATTTAATATACATACATAGATACATATGTAGTATCTAAATAAATTTGTTCAATTAAAATTCTGAATTTTCTTACAAGTTAAGCCTACATATTTATTTAGCATTAAAGACAAGTATTAACCCAAAAATGTAATGAGTATTTTTAATTTTATATTTATAAAAATTTGGGTATACAAAAATATGCTTTCGATATAACAAATAATAGTTCAGCTATAACAGAGTAACATAAGCAACTTATTTTGTCTTGACCTCTTTCGATTCTAAGATTAGTAATTCCGATCATTAGAAAAAAGGATGTTATTAAATTATATATATATATATTCATACATCTATGAAATTGCAGCTGCTTTTGATAAAAACATATTTGCAATTCAGTAATTAAAAATGCAGTAAAATGCTTGACGGTTGGTCAAAAATCTATTTAATACATAACAATATGATATTGCATTTCATTTTATATTATAAATTTAGTTTTTAAAATTATAGATATTTGTACATATGTACATACATACATACATGCGTATGAATGTGTGCGATATATCCTTCTTACATATTGGATTCCATTTTGTAATACTTTTTATACTGTACATACACATCGTCGATGTGTTTGCAAAACCGCCCATCGACCAGTTGCAAAACCGCCTAAATCGCCGTTGTGGCAAAAATGAGATTTGGTAACCCTGAACTCCAGGCATCGAGATCTTTGCATAAAAGCCGTTATTAAAACAGATTTGTGAAATAATAGCTAGAGAAAATACCGCCTATTAGGGCAATACCTTCAAAGAATAAACCGTTTTTCGCTCTCCTGTAAAATTTGAGTGCCGTAAGATAGGCGGTTTTGCAATTGGGCGATGGGCGGTTTTGCAGAAACGTCGACGATATGTATGTATGCATATCTAAAAACTGTAAAACTCGCTTTTGAATTCTAATCTCTAAAAATGTTAAAGAAAGGTCTGAGTTTGAAAACCAAACTAAACTGCGACTATTTCTTACAAAATTTTTACACTAGTTAATCAGTTTTAATAGGCTTCTGACAGACTCATCTTTGACACTCGCAATTTAAAAATTATGTATGTACATACAGTCAGTGTCAAATGTAAGTGTACACGTTGTTCTAGTCCAGTTGTATTTAACAAGGTGGGGTTGACAACTCTGTGCGGCTCTCTTCTAAGGTACTATAATGCCAAAAAATATAAACAAACGATTGACAATTCATAAAAAAAAATCCAATTTGACTTTATAGAATGGTTCTGAGAGCAATGTTCAATTCAATTTTTAAAAACTAAAAAAAACCGCTCGCTCAATTCTTCGGCCATCAATTACTTTTTGAAGTTTGTCTACTTTATAAAATTGAAATTTTGAGAGCAACTCAAAGGCCAAATAACAGTAAAACAAAAAAACAAATAGATGAAAATATTCAAATTTTCTTTTATTTTAGACTAATAATGAGAACGTATTTGTGAGATTGAAAATTTGAAAACATTTTGGTTATGTTAGCAAACTTCAAAAATGTTCAGGCTGCCTCTCAGCGGTTTCACCTTGAAATTTTTGTATCATGGTTCTAGTATAATATTCACAGTTATAGTAGAATCCGTTTATAACGACTCCGCATATAACGACCGACCGCTTATAGCGACGTAAACACAACCTCAAATTTGATTTTTATACAAATTACTATAAAAGTACATCCGCTTAATACGACTCCGCTTTGAGCGACCAACCGCTTTAAGCGACGAAATTTATGAATAAATTGTCCGGTTAAATCGACGAAAGTCTTAAAAATTTACAGAAAATTAGAAGCTTCACACAACATATTGTTACATGTTATGCAGTGACTGAACATTGAAGACTTCTAGTGTGGATAGCGGTTAGTCCACAGAAAATTTTTCATTCGACTTTTTCGACAGACGTCAATAAACTTTGCATTTTTGTTCGTCAAAAATACTTAAGTAATGTGCACTCGATAGTTGAAATGTCAGTTGATTAATGACTACGTGCTCAAAAATGTCCTATAGCAGAATTATACAAACAAAAATTAAAAAGAGCAGTTCCGCTTATACGACGTCCGGTTAGTACGACATATTTTCACCGGTCCCTTGGAAGTCGTTATAACCGAATTCTACTGTGTTTTTCATTAATTATTTATGAAAATATAGGCCATTCTATAACATAAACCATATAAATCAAAGTTTCGCACTTTATATAAAGTTAAAAAAAAAAATCAAAAAATTGTCATCAAAATTTGAAAAACTTGATTAGGGATTTCTAGAAAATTTTCGAGTATGCAGTTTTGTAGCCCGTTCAATTTTATTGCAAGATTAAAGTCGCTAGAAATGACCGTTGTTTTTTTAGATTTTTTTGTGGAGGGTGTTGCGCGTTTTCTTCCATATAGCGCGTGATCACAATAAATTTTTATATGAAAGAAACGCTAAAATTGATCGAGCTACAAAACTACATACTCAAAAATTCTCTAGAAATTCTGAATAAAAATTTTGAATTTTTGATGAAAATTGTTTGAATTTTTGTGAACTTTATATAAAGTGTGAAAATTTAATTTATATAGTTTATGTTATAGAATAAATATTTTCATGAATAATAAATGAAAAAAATTGTTCATTAAAATTATTGTGAATATTATAATAGAACAAGGTGTACACTTACATTTGACTCTGACTGTATTTCCATACATATACTTCGAATGACTTATCGGCACGTTTTAGATACATAAATGGATGTATTCTTGTATTGCATAATGCATAAAATCATACAATTATTTCATGTTCTATGCTATTGATACCCTTTTGTAAAAAGTACAGGCTTTTCTCTAATAATTCAATCCAGACTCGACTTTCGAAATCAGTTCTTGTGCACCAAATTATTAACACATTTTTGAACTTTGTAAATAGGATACTTTGCGCTTAGCTTAGCCCTTAAGCGAATAAAAAAATTTGAGTACCAAAAAATATGTCCTTTTTATTGGAGTGTATAAATTTTTGTATATAAATTTGAATAATTATTATAAGTAAGTTGTTTGATTAGGGGTGTATTTGGTACTCTTCTAAGCCGTTATTAGATTTATAAGTGATTTTTGTAATATACTACAGACATAGTATGTATGTACATACATACATACATACATACGTATATTCCATATACATGCATATACAAATGTTAGAGGCCCTTGACAATAGTCATCTATATATAAAAAAACTCTCACTACGTGTTATTGTGAAATAATTTATAACAACGTGTCATTTACTTTATACTTTAAACCAATCAATTCTAAGTTTTTTAGTTGAGAAAAATAAATGTGAAATCTTGTCAGCCTAATAAAAGAGTTTTTATCTATCAATCATCGCCCGGATACATACAATTTATAACACCTTATATCAAAAATGAAAATGTGGTAAGTCCACTTTTTATGAAAACTCATACTTTGATATACGAAGCAAAGGATATTAAAAATGCATTGTTTCGAAAAGGATTAAGGCACTTTTTCTATTTTTCTCGGTTATATTCAATGAAAGGAAAATTTGCTAAGTCCAAAAGAGACACCGAAAATCCGACAAAATCAAAATAATACGAAATCATTTATTCTTATTCGTATGCAGCTTTGCTTTGCTTTATGCATGCAAAATGTTGTATTCAAAGAGTTGCAAAATTGCAAAATACTTAAAGCAAATTGCTAAAAGAAGTTTTTTCCTCTCTCTCTCTCTCTCTCTCTCTCTCTCTCTCTCTCTCTCTCTATTTGATTTACTCTTTTCATTGTTGTATTTTGTACAAAAATATGCACTAAATTTAAAACTAGATAGATAAATATATGAATATATTGTTATCCAAAAGGTTATCAAACACTTCAAATAAATTTAATACCTAAAATAGTTATGGCTGTATATTCTTAAAATTATACTCATTGTTCAAAAGCCTAATTTAAAAAATCTCAGTTAATAATTTGCACTCGTGTACATTGTGCGACCAAAAAGTAACAAATTGTACACACCTTAGTTTTAATATAGCGTCTTACACATATTTCAAGACTGGACGAATATACTTATACTGTACATCCAACATGCGCCTGTTGCTTCGACTCAGTTTTCGTGGATAGGCTGGTTGGTTACCATTCCTCCTGGCGGTGTTATCCATTCCCTTTTCATACATTTCTACGCCAATTGCGTATTCTTTTATCCAAATGCTGCTTGCAAACAGTTGCTAAAACATTCAATGCCAAATCAACATCATCGTAGGTGACGCAGAGTGGCGGGCGTATGGAGAGTACCTAGGTGGGGTAGAGTAGAAAAATTATTTAATGAATTTTTTCAAGTGATTTCCTGCTACAATTTATTTCTAGGTGTACGAACGTGCTGTGTAAAATGGAGGGTAAAAGAGGTGATGAAATATAGTAGCGACGAGTTTCCAAAAAGTTTTTGCTTGACAGGAATAGATGAAGGTAAAAATTTGGGTGGTACTCGTAAGAGCTTAGAACTAATGGAGCATATTCATAGTCAAAATAAGTTTCAATAGAATATCTGTCAAAAAATCTGCAACTAACTACATATATATGGGGTATATTTTTTATACTCAAAAATTTTGTTATGATTGATACAAATATAAATCTTTTTTAATAAGTATTTTAAAACGAGATATCTTTTTACACAAAACTTTCTAAATTTTCATAAGTAGTTCTGATCAAAAAGTAAGGTTATAATCTTATTGAAGGTAACAAATATTTTAATTAGGTTATAACTATTTGAGAAAATAGAGCACTTGGAACAAGTTATTTGTTGCTATCTTATTTGATACGAAATTTTAATTAACACGACTTTCAAAAGACGGGCAAAATATTCAGATAAATCATTCAACATTTTTTAATTCCTACTTTTTATTTCTATTGTA